ACGCACGCACGCACGCACGCACGCACGCACGCACGCACGCACGCACGCACGCACGCACGCACGCACGCACGCACGAACGCACGCACGCACGCACGCACGCACGCACGCACGCACGCACGCACGCGCGCGCGCGCGCCGCGCGCGCGCCGCGCGCGCGCACACACACACACACACACACACACACACACACACACACACACACACACAATACATTGTTTTATATACGAATTGTTATGCGAGTGACGGACCTACTTACCTATATTACAACTTTGTACTTACTTAGGCTTAGAAACCAGTCTCTTGCAAACATACTGTAATAAATTTGACTGTGTATGTTATCTACATTCTTATCTAACTGTTATGTTTGTGGAGAAAAAAAAATTATTATTATTACATTTTAAGGATCTATTATTGGCCATAATATCTAATGCGCCACTACAATTTTCTTAGAAGCATCATAGAAGGGAAGTTCGAAGAAAAGAGTGGCATAGGAAGATGAAATTATTTGTTATCAATAATTATCAATTGGGAAAAACTTAATGTCGTATCGTATTAGGAAGTCAAAGGGCGTAGAACAGAGATGGTTGACGATTACTCCACCGACAAAAGCCTAGCTCATAAATAAGATGAAAAACCAATTTAGTAATAAAAATGGCGGTCGGTCGACTGCTCCGTGCCTCTACCACGATATTTCTGTGATAATTGTCTCTAGCGATCGCGAAAATTACTTCACCATTTTGTATGACAAGTTATACAGCGCCCTTAGCGGTCACAAGAAGGAACAACATTTTGTACCTACATAAATATTTTACGCGGTCGCTAGCGATAACTGTAATGATAGCGATCTCATGGTAGACAAAATCTAGCTTAAACTTAATTTATGTACCAGTTCCGAAATAAATTATTATTATTATATCTGTTTTAGACTCTCGCCTCTTCCAAGGCCTAAAAGATTATTATTATTAGTCCCAAGCGTCACCTTGGATATTTTGAAAAACTAGAAGTCTGAACTTGATATCTGAACTTGGTACCCAATACAAACACTGACATCGGCACTGGATCTGAACTGTTCCTCGTCATCCAACAATGTTCTTTATTTGACTTACTGTTTTGTTTTTCTGTTCGTTCGTCCAAAAGGGCAAGCTAGGGTCAAAGAAAATACTGCCTTCAGCATTGAGTTAGTGATCTAGTCCTTTAAGTAAACGTCTTTGTTTTTCTTATAACTTCCTTTACATTGTTTTAATTCATTAATTAAACTTCTGAAAATCTATCTTCAGTAACTTGAATTACATAATAAGGACGTTGGCTATCTTTTTAATGGCTCTGACAGCTTGCTACAATGTACCTGTGCAATAACAGCTCATCAACTTTAACGTATTCACAAATACTTGTCAAATTATTCAAAAACATATCCTATCCAAGACTGGGAGCTGATGTTTACAGTATTCGGCGGCAAGTGGCTGTCTGTTTACGAATAATTTAAATAGTCCACGATTGTTTGCGTCCAACACGACGCAAGATAAGTCAATAATACGGGTTACCTGCAGTGAAACGCCTACGCATTATATATGATGTAACTGTATGGTGTTAATAATAGTAGAGATCCTTGTGAAAAGTTTGTCCAGGGAAGTAATGCCGTACCTATTTCTGCCGCCAAGTTGTAATGTGAGCATTACTGCGCTCGGGTTTTGAAGGGCAAGGGTGCTGGTGAAATTACAGGCACATGGGACTTGTCAACTTATATCTAAGGGTGACGTGCGCAGTAGCAGTCTGAATGGCATTGCAACTATTATGGACAGGCGTGTCGCTTACCAGCACACCAGGCGCACGACTTTCGTCCCCTCACTTCCTATCATAAAAAAAAATTGCACACATGATCAAAATTCAGAGAGAAACAAAAGATAAAAATAGAGTCTAACAAGCGGCTTGATGTGACAAGATAATATCTACTCCGTATACGTCTTATCTAATATTATTATTATACGCACATTCCCAATTTGTCAGCTTCTTAAACTTTTGATATAACAAAACTGCTATTCTCGAGGGATTGCAATGAAATTAGATATTATGCTCATTATTTTTCGTACTATATAGTTTTAATTGACAAAGTGACAAATTCATTTAAGAGGCATTGTATACGCTTCCATAATAACCTTTCGATTCATGTTCAAAATTTGCCATTCACCAGTTTCTTCGTACTTGGATGACAAAAATCCGTTGTAGTGACCTGTTAGCTCTTGAAAGTTGTCTCTATATATCAAGTTTGATATAATTAACTATTGTATATGATAAATGTATACGAATGTTTATTTACAATGAACAACCCATTACATTTTTTACTTTTTCTTCTCAGGGGAATCTGGCTTACGAATGAGTGGAATTTGATCAATATATACACAAAAATATAGTTATTTATGAAAAAAATACGTAAATATATTATATTGTTGCGCATTATGATAGAATTCGTAAAATTCGATATGACGATAACCCACAACCTTATATTTACAAGGTCAGAGAAATACATTTATGAAGGCTAAGAGAGAGCGTGATAAATATTTTATTCAGTTCTGAGGAAGCGGAAACTAAAACATCTGTCTGTCAGTCACTCGCTTATAAGATGTAACCCTTTAATCATCGCTTAGATATTTTTAGAAAGGCGTTTAGGATTATTTCTCAGTCACATTATGAGCATGTGTAATAAAAAAAATAACTTTTTTCTAAGTGTTTATTAAGAGTTTTGACTGGGATACAAGTTTTTAAATATTCTTAAGCGGCGCGAGTCAATATTTATGTTTTCACTTTCACTTAAATCACATTATCTTCTATCGCTTTGAATTCGTAATTATTGGAATTTTTAGGATAAAGTCTTTTGTAATTTATTATTTAGGTTTAAAATAAGGAATATAGTTTTAACTTTCTTCATCAATAGTGATGAAAGAAAGAAATAGTTCTTTCTTCGTTTTTTCTTCATAATATACTTAAAATAAAAATAATCTTTGACAAGCTGTACATGTAACTTCAAAAGCCCGCCATTTTTCGATCTTTGTGTTAATAATTATAACAAACTTGTGGTGTAATTTCACAAAGAATAATTCAATATCGTGATGGTGTAACATCCTGACATTCAATGAACTTAATTAAATAGTTTCATTCAGAGACGAGTGTTAGAAAGAAACGGTAATCATTTGTGACGTCACAGCCGTATAAGTCCGTGTACTTAACGATTGCCTACTAAAAAGACTGTTATTCCCCCCGTCATTGACTTTAAATATCTCTTGTGTTAATTGACATAATAAAAACGAATTTCAATTTAATTTCCGTTATGTTCACGTGAGGTGATGAAAGTAATGAAAGCAGCGTTTTTGTATTTTTCATTTCGTACATCACTCATCGCAGAAACAATTTGTGAATGTCAACAAGCCAACCAATCAGAAAGCCAAGTTGATATCATCTGATTGGTTAGTTACTGCTTTTAATGAATAAATAAAAAAATTAGTAATGCTTATTAATTTTAATTTCAAATGTTTGCTCCGGATTTAATTATTATGCAATGTTTGGATTCTCCTTCCTAGTAGCAGTAGAGCTCCTTTTGAAAGAGTTCGTCCAAGTACTGCCACCTTACCTATTTCTGCCGCCAAGCAGTGATGTAAGCATTACTGCGTTCCAGTTTTTAATAGTAAGGTGCTGGTGAAAGTACAGGCACATGGGCCTTTTCAACTTTTCTCAGGGTGACGGACGCCGTGACAGTGACCCTGAGATCTTTGTGGTTTAACCTCTGAGTGGTACTGCAACTGTTATGAACAGGCGTGTGACTTAACACCAGGCGCACGACTTGTTCGTCCCGTCACTTGATAATATATAAAACAGTCTTACAATGGTTTAACATGTCATTTTCTTTTGGTTACAGATGCACCATCCGATTCAAATGAAGCCGGCTGACAGTGAAAATAGAAATGGTAAGATTCAATTACAGCTATTCTTCACTTATTTGTAAATTCGAATACAGTGCACACGTACTTTATGGTTTTTTTTAAGAACGGAAAGTTTTTTCTCTAGAATTGACATTTACGTGTTTAATAGAAACATACCTAGAACCTAGTAAACAACGAGACAATACCCGTAAACCTGATAAATAGTCATATTGTGAGAAATCAATTCATATTTACAACTTTAGTACATGCAAACAAACCATCAAAATTTTCGAACCCTTCGCTTCGAAAAAGGCTGCAATTCGTTTGAATATCTTCTATGATACCATATTTTTTATGAACAAATATAAACACAACGTAGAGTATAAAGATCATAACAGTAATAAATATAATAATAGGAAAATATTATAAATTATTGTGGCGTGGGTTAGCGGAGGGGGTGCGTAGAAAATTGAGACGCAGACGGAAAGTGCGCAAGGCGTATATTAAATAAAAGACAAAACAAAAAGTTATGCGGCTAGAGACCCAACAGTGCGTCTCACGTGCGTGAAAGTGCAAGTTTAGTGCCGAAGCTTAAGTAAGATAGCAAGTAAGGACCGAAATGTCTCAATACCTTGAGTGCCTTTTAGTGCCATACAAATGCCATAGCAGTAGTAAACATTAACAATTCAAAGCATATGAGATGACTTATACTATTGGAGTTAACAAAACGATAGCGCGTTTCATAGTACATAATGCCATCTAGCGGTGACGCGACGGAACTATAGGCGTGTTAAAGTTGTGGTTGTTACAGACCGCCCCCCCCCTTGTCTCTGATAGGCGTCCCGACGAAGAGACAGAAAAGGATGTGAACGGTTTTCTTCGGCCGACCTCGACCGCGTTTCTTAAACAGTATTGTCGCTGGTTGAGGTGTCGTTTTCTTAAGTCGTCCCCGTTTTATTATTTTCTATTCTATTGTTCTATTATTATTTTCTATGCAACCATATTTTTTTATGTGCAAATAACAATACAACGGATAGTATGAATGTCATAACAATAATTTAATAAAATAATAGGAAAATAAATGATATATTTCTAGTTCCATATCCTTAGGTACGTTTACAACGTATACTTTGAACGTCATAATAATAATTAATATAATATTACAAAAATAAAATAAAAATTAATATCTACTTATACCATATTGACGTACAACTCCTTGTGAAAGGGTTCGTCCAGGGAAGTACCACCTGACCTATTTCTGCCGCCAAACAGTAATGTGAATATTCCGGTTTTTAAGGATAAGGGTGCTGGTGAAATCACAGCCACATGGGACTTGTCAACTTATGTCTCAGGGTTTCGGACGCAGTGCAGTGTCCCTCAGATCTTTGTGATTTAAAGCTCCGAGTGGCACTGCAACTGTTAGGGACAGGCGTGTCGCTTACCACCAAGCACACGACTTGCTCGTCCCGTCAGTAGTATAAAAAAAAATTAATTCTATGTCAGTCATTGACTTACAATTATATGGACGTCGGGTCCGCGCTAAAAAGTGTCCGCACTTGTAAGGCGCTAAAATCGTATACAGAGCGCGACACTCCGCTTTAGTCTTCATTTGTTCTACGGACAGCGCGATACTGCGATGACATAACAATTTAAATTTCGAATAGGTTGACTTGGGACATTTTTTTCGTGGTTTCTGTATTAGACCCGTCGTCCATTTATTTGTAAGTCAATGATGTCAGTGGATAGAAACGATATGACGAATAAATGTCAGGTAAAAAGTTCGAAGAATAAAATAATACGGGATTAAATTGCCGATTTATTGCACTGGCCACTTTGAATCAAAATTAAACCTGGTGTCAGATTTCAGAGTGAAACTTTTTTTACACGAATTCTATAACATACTCAATTTAAAAAAAAAAACGTGAAATTTAATTGTTTAACTATCAATTGTTTTTACATTGAGCTTTTAACGTGAAGATGGATACAGCGAGAATCAGAGTACTTTTCGAATACGTGAGACTAACACAGCAGAAACTGCTCGTAATGTCAATACTGTGTTTGGAGAGGATACAGCTAACGAACGCACCGTGTATTTTTGGTTTAATCGCTTTCGTAATGGAAACTTCGATTTGAAGAGGAAGACCAGCCAATAAGGTAAATAACGGCTCCGTGGCCGAACGGTTACCATGCCGGACTGCCACGCAGAGGTCCCAGGTTCGATTCCCGGGCAGGGAGAAATATTTCTATGACCTACATTTATTTCTCTCGTGAGTTTGGGTGTAATTTGTGGTTGTCTATGTGTGTGTCCATGGCACCCGCGACACAGGGTTTCCCTAGTGCGGGGCTATGTTGAGTGTGTGCGTTATAAAAAAAAAACGATGAAGTGTAGGTGATGTTGGAAACCGATCCGTATCAAACTACCAAGGAATTAGAGGCATGGTTTGATGTTAACATACCTACAATATTGACCTATTTACAGTAAATCGGTAAAATTAAAAACCTTAAAAAATGTGTGCCGCATGATTTTACTGATTTGCAGAGAGCGATTCGCGTTGAAGCTTGCCTTGCCTTGTTAAACCGGTATAGAAATAAAGGGACTTTGGGCCGAATTGTGTCGTGTGACGAAAAGTGTATTCTTTATGATATTAGTAAGCGAACAACGCAATGGCTGACCCCAGGTCAAATATCACAACAATGCCCTAAAGCGAACCTTACCCTTAGAAAGGTGATGGGAACGGTTTGGTGGTCACTTCATGGTGTAATTTACTACAGCTTCCTCAGAACCGATCAAGCAATAACAGCAGATTACACTGTGCGCAATTCCGAATTATGATGGCGAAACTTGCTGCAAAACCGCCCCGACTTGTTAATCGATCTTCACTATTATTGCTCAATGACAACAATTAGAACCCATCCGTCATCCTTCATATTGGCCGCCCCAACCGACTACCATTTTTTTCGCGATTTGAAAAAAAATTCTTCCCATGAAGTACAAAATACCTTCACACAGTTTGTGGAGTCCGGGTCCCCAGAGTTCTATCACAAAGGTTTAAATGATCTTTTGATTAGGTGGCAGAAATGTAATAAACACGAAGGTAAATACTTTGACTAAATTAATATATTTTATTCTACGAAAAAATGTATTAATATCTCAGTACGAAACGGCAATTTTATACTTTAACCCCTGATATGATAACCATGAAGAATGTTGTATACCACATGTCACTGTAGTGTCTATGACTCCTTCATCTGTGTGTCGATCTCTATTCATTATGCGTAAGTTTCAGCGCGCGTTGCCCTTTGCGGTGTGAACAATTTGTGTGGTACTCATTTTTCTATTTTTTAACCGACTTCAAAAAAAGTAAAAAGATCTTAATTCGACTGTATATTTTTTTATGTATGCTACACGATAACTCACGCAGTTGTGAAGCGATTTTTTTTTAGAAAGATGGTACGTAGTAGTTCAATTTAAATTTCAAGTAAATATTCCACCTTTAAATGTGACAAACTACGGGATGAATAACTTTTCAAGTCGGTTTTTTTAGTACTCTGTACTGAGATTATTTATTCCACATTCCATTGGTATTCCTCTGTAGTTTCCGATTGACCGGCTTCAACAATATCTCACAACTCGTCACTATTCACCTAAGGCAATGCTGTTCCACGAGACTCGTTTGCCGGATTAAAATTTCCACTGCGTAATCGGACAAACCAAAACCGCACGTTCGTTAGTTGCATCCGCTCCATACGTGGGGTTAATATTCCGTGTCGTTTGCGCTGCAAGACTATTACGCCGGGATTAGTTTTAAAAATACTATTATTGTCCAATGCGAACGCAAAATTTACTTAGAAGCGAGTATTTAGAAAGGTGTAATTAGAATGTAATAATGGATTGCGAATTTCAAAGTGGCTATAATGATAGGATTTTCGTACTTTAACTGCGAATGTATAAATTTTACTAATAGCTAATTTGGCAGAAGCTAAACCGAAAATAAGTTGCCCAGAAAATTTCGATAAGAGAGGACAGGCGCCAAATTTCATAGTTTCATTTAGGACTGCTAGCATCCATTTTTGTCATATGAGAACCGCCCATTATCCTTTAAAATTAAACAAAATTGTATATGTATTAGCAAACAATTATATTAAATCAGGTACACAGTTGGCACTACCAAGTTTGAACTTACAAATGTACACTTCAAAAGCTTTTTTAATAGTTTTAAAATGTATAAGAGAACCCCGAAATATAACTGTATAATTTATTTATCAGACACGCTTCCCAAGTACATTTATTAAAGAAAGAGTTTCTAACACGAAAGAAAACATAAAATGTCGTACTTAATGTGTCTAGCTCGCAAAAGCCAAAAATAAAAATAAAATATTTTTTTGTTATATACAATTTTTTCTAATATCCTTTTCAATTGTAAATTTGATTTATTATAAAATGCATATTGTTAATATATTTTGCACATCATATATAGCATAAATGGTAATATTTTCTTTGACAAATTAAAAATAAGTTACTAAAGGTGCAAACCATACGTATTCGACATAACTGGTCGACGACTCTGGGACCTGTAATGCCCGAAACGTTGGTTTGTTTAAAAAAAGAAATATTTCAAACAATTTTTTTGTGCCATTTTATAGCAGCATATTTTTTACAGCAGCTCGCTAACAGTTTCAAATGTATATTTTTAACATCGAGTATATAACCAGAAATAGAGACGAAATGTCATTTAATTTGTTTGAAAACTATTCTGCCATATCATTACTGTGATAACTGCGCTCCGATGCGATGCGCTTCGAGCCCGAGTTCGAAACAATTGACGGGTGTCGTCAACTGTTTCACTTCAAATCGACCAGTTAACTTGAGCTTTGCTATAATGGACAAAAATTGCAAAATTACATATTTAATATCTAAGAACCGATGAAATGTGATTCCGTTTGTTTTGTAATTAGATGTTCTGCTGTTTTTCCCACACCACCGAATAGAACAGAACGGCATTGTTAGAGATATTATCAATAAAGATATAATAAATAATAAATAC